AGCCAGAGCACCATTTGTGGTTGGGTTTGGAGTTAAATGTGGTGGTGGGGGATGAAGAGCAAGAGGCCCTGCTTTAATAACTCACTATGGACTCCATACATGACCACCCCAGCAAAGCCCATCCGTTCACTGCTCTTCGTGCTATATACACAGCCTACTTAGAGAGAAGCCTTTGTTTGAACGACGCGCTTTGTCAGCCTCTATTTAGTGGCTTCTTTACGACGGACTCAGCCCTTTGAATATTAACTGTGTGATCACTCTTGCCACACAAGCAGCCGCTCGGGACCCCCTATCAGTGTAGCCCGGCTCCCCTGTACTCTGCTATAGGGCTTTGTGCCCAACCACAGCTTGGTATACAGTCTCTTGTAAGTTTCTCATCAACCATTTAGAGAGGAATTTACTTTCCATTGCTTCGCTGACATCATTTATGAAGCGTTTGATTCTTTTTACATATGAGGAGGCTCGAAACCGGGGTTCAAATATAAGAGCCTTACATCTCACAAAAAAAAGGAGACAAAGATGGGAGGAAAAGAAGGGGAAGAAAGGGGCTGATTTGTCTATGTCGCTGTATGTCACTGTGCCATTGTAAACTTCTAGTGGAGTGCGACTGTAGCTCTGACTAGTGTAATGACCATAGCAGCTGGGGCAGGAAGGCGACGGAGGGTGGGAGAGTCTGCCCTGGTGTTTTTGCAGACCAATAATCCCCTTTATTGAGTCTCAGGAAATCCTAATTGGAGTCGGAAGTGGCTCTAGTGGCCAGATGTGCAAAGACTAACAGAGTCGACCCCCCCTTCTCCAACAAGGACAAGTGACCACAAGCTCCTCAGCCTCCTTTTCCACCCTGCTGAGTTTAATTTAAACACACACACACAGAAAGTATGCAAGGCCACCTGACCATAAACACATCCACGAGCTTCCTCTCTGTCCAACCTGAGGAACTTTATCACAACAGAACAGACGCCCACATGCACTAAACGCTAAAAATGCCATGACAGAAGACAGCTTTGTAAACACAGCAAAGCATCAGCTGTGTGCAGCCAATGAAAACAAAGCGAGGCACAAGGTTCAGTCGTGCCGCTTGTCTGCTCTCTCAAGTCGAGAAAAACTACGTATTGCGAAAGCACATAGTGGAAATTCTTTAACAATGAATGCGAAGAAATAAAGAACGAAAAAATGGACGTGCTTTTCCTGGCATACTCCAGAAAGTGAATGCTTCCACAGATGACTCTTTCTAATGTGTTTTTTTTTCTCTGTAACTTTGACTCACATCCTCCTCTCTCTCCGTTCTGTCTCCATAATGTTTGTATCATCGTCTAATGGCCTGTCTGCGAACCCTCAAAGTTACATTGTGCAGCAGCTTGTGTGAGCTTCTCTTCGTGTCTTTTGCTGGCGTGGATGGATATACTCCAAGTTCTCATGTACGGAGCGGTCATGTAATGAGTTAATGTCAGCGCATATGTGTGTTTGTGTGTCAGAGAACTTGGAAAAAAAAAAAAAAAAAGAGGGCAAGGAGCTGAAAGTGTTTCTGTGTTGACTGTCTCTTGCTGTCTCTTCTTATCAGGCGGTCTGACCAAAGCCAGAGATCCTTGTCAGGCCACACTGGGTAACTACACGTGATCTGAGTGCAGCTGGGAAACCGAGAAAGATCTGAGGAAGCTGGGTTTGATTAGGAATACCTCCCCAGACCTACTGTCCCAGCCTGGAATCAGACCCAGGTGTGTGTGTGTGTGTGTGTGTGTGCACGTTTTTTTCATACTATGTCTATGCATGATGTTTAATACTCCCGCAGAGCCACAGTCACACTGACCTATTTACTCCACCATGGAAAGGGCCAAGACCCAGGAGGCAGACCAGACTCACCAGAGGCAGAAAAACACTGAGCCCCCATACGGCGATATCAATAGTTTCACATGGAATAGTTTTACAGCCACTTTTGCACGCTACATAAATGGGGCATCTGGGCAAAAAATCTATTGTATTGATTTCTTTACATCCGGATTCATTTCTGCAGTGTGAAAAACCAATTGCAGCAAAGGTCACTGTATAGAATTTGATAACCGTAGCAAAGTACTTTTTTTTTTTCTTTTCTTTTTTTTTTCCTGTGTTTTTGTCCATGTGTAGGCACCCACGATCATTCAAGTTTATTGTCAACACTATAATACGTAATGTGTGTAAGTTAGGGGAGGAGGGAGCTGATAGCCTTCACCTTTACATAACCCTTCCGAGACTTCAAAGCGAGATTAAGAAGGAGAGCTGGCGAAAGGCTAACACTTGCTGCATGGCTGCTAAACTGAGGGGCTGAGCTACAGGGAAGTTGGCACTGAGACCTCGTGTGTTAATCTTTATTTATCCATTTAGGAAAAAAAATAGATTTTCACTAAAACGTCAAAGAAATGTCACATTCACGATTACCCAGATTTGAGACGTTTTCCCCAATGCCTGATCAAGAAAAAGCACTTATTTCTCGCCATTCTGCGTCTACAAAGTGCAGTTTAACTTGAACGCACAGATTCCCTCTCAAACTCACACAGGGTCGCACACAAATGTTACACATGAACACCCTCATGCACATTCATTCACTAAAGAATGGGTCAAGTGAAGCACAGGCTCTGAAGCTCACTGTTATGCAAAGGGGACCAGCTGGGAGTGGGTCTGTACACATCACAGACTGTTTTGTCTCCTTGCGATTTAACTATCTTGGTGAGACATGCGCGGGGATGCCAAGTTAACTCCTTACTATTCATTAATCACTGTCACAATGTCCAAATGCTGGCATAATATGTGGAATTGTGCAGGGTTGTTCGGGCCCTTTATGGACTATAAAGCTGCCGTCTCTCAACAGTGGCATTTCCTTGTATTCTGAGGAGTGCACTGTACTCTGAGAAGTGAGTGACTGAATAGAAAGTGAAGTTTCCTGAGAGAGGTTTATTCTGGCACAGTGCTCTATAACATGCCCTGCTGCTCCGGCACAACAATAGCCAGATCTTTGGGGTCATAACCTCCTAATTACTGCAACCCCACAAGCGATGACGACCGCCTGTCAGCGTGGGCTGTGAGGGGAGGCTACCTGAGCCGGACTCGGGAGCACCAGGTGACGTGGGCCAGGAGTGCTCCAGCACCTCGGATGAAAGGTGGGTGTTATGGGTGTACATCCAAGCACCTGGGCCGTTTCAGCACCTTAGAGGGACTTCTAGCCTCTTGGCTTTCACCTGCGCTCCGTTCTTGGTTCAGGGAGGACATGCGGACATCATTTCCCATGTCCGATATCCATCTGCTCCCTCTCCTGGGTTCTCAACAGCATACTGGGCTCAGCATGATCAAGGCCTTCTACACCAATCACACATCGGAGTCCTGCCCACTACGATGATTAGCCTGAAATAGAGACTTATCAAGTTGTCTGACAGAAGACAAGCTTTCATGTACAATCTTATCTGGACTTTGCAAACACAGGTATGAGGTATCAAAGCCACTAAAACAATCTGTCCTAAAGATTAAAGAGATCTAGAAGGTGAAAGCTGTTAGTTATTGAGGATCTATTGAGTCTTTTCAAACATGGTAAACATTCTCTAAATTTAGCCACATAAGAACATCTTGAAGCTGGATTAAAGCTGAGCAAAGATCGAGTGTGCTCCCACCTGAAACCACTCAAGTCCGCCCATGGGAAAACTGGGAGGATACAATAAAGGCATATCAGCATGGGGGTGCGCGCCTGCGCGTTCGCGTGACGCTGTGTGGAAGTTTCGTTTGCAAGTTGAGGAAGACGAGAGATTGGAGCGAGTGGAGCTGCACAAGTGGCCGGGATAAGAAAGAAATAGCAAACGAAAAAAGTTGGGACGTAAATGATTTTGTGTGTGTGAGATTAAACTGGCGGCTCTTGTTGGCGTTTTTACTCAGAAGTCACTGGAAAAGTGTCGCCGTCATCAGCAGGTAAGTAAAATAACCTAAATCAGAGGCACGAGAATACTTTAAAATGTTTTGTCAAACTTAATTTGGCGCAAATTTGTTTTTTTTCATTGTAGATCAGCGTTAAAATATCCTTCTAAACTGTTCAAACTAAGCACAATTACCAAAAACTTTTCTTAAAGTATGAAAATGATGTTGTTATTCATGCGTTTTCGTTTTCTCGATAACTTCCCGTAACTTTTCATCCTTTCCAAGAGCTCTTAAGCAACCGGATTAGTCAGATGATATTTCTCGCTTGTCAAGATACAGATCTGATTAAATGATGGAGGCTGAGATCAGCGGTTTTCGCAGCGCGCTCATGCGGTTTTCCACGGAACAGCTCTGCAATCAAGCGCATCCCTGCAAAAGGAATGAAACAAAAAGAGTTTCCCAAAAGTTCTGATTCATGCGCGAGAGAGGGCGAGAGGATGTGTCCTGGGCAAACACATACCCTTGTACTGATTAGAGAGGGTTTGCCTTGAACCAGACTCCTGAAACCTCTGAGTCACTCCCAAATGCATTATTAATCCTGCTTAAAACCTGCTGGTGCAAGTGTTGTCCAACCCTGCTGTCAGACGTTAACCTCCCATAACAAGAAAGGAATATTTAAAGTCTGTGAAGCTGCAGACTTTTTTCTTTTTTTATTATGATGAGCTTTGTGGTTAACTGTGCGCCTTGCCTTGCCCCTGGTGTCTCCATGTTTTCTAATTAGAAGGATGGAACAGGCGAGGTGGAGGTGTGTGTGCATGCAGTGAGGTGAAACCGAACAGGATGGGACAAGCTGTTCAAACAGCCCGCAGAGGGGGGAAGAGCTCGTAGTACTTTCCCAAAAAATGCCTTGAACTTGCACTGAAAGTTGAACCAGAGGTGAGACGCTGGGCTCGGGCGACTTGTTAGATCAGTCATTGCTCTGGAGTCGTGCTAATGAAAGGAGAAGTGCGTCCAGGTGTCAGGGAAACCAGTGTGAGGTCATTATGAAGCTGACTGATTGACTATATGTCTCTGGGATGACACTGATTTCCAGCTCAATAATCATCTTTGTTGTTTCTGTTTTCTAGACTGGAATCGTCAATCGACCTTTGAACCAGAGCTCGCTGGAGGCTGGGAAGGACGTCGCAGAGCCCGTTTGCCCGCCGTCGGCCCTCCTTCTGACCACCAGGCAGCCTCTATGCACATCAACCTGACTGTGGCCATCAAGGAATCGCGCTCCTTTCATGGAACACAGCCTCTCCGTCCCACCACTGCCCCTGTGGAAGTGACAGCCATGGAGCCACGAGTGGTGCTGGTTGCCCCTCCGCCACCCCC